CCCCCCCCCCCCCCCCCCCCACGCGCGCGCGCATCCCGTCCTACTCCACCGTTCCCACACCCTCCGACAGCCCAAGAAGATGTCGTGGCGTACGCCGTTCGCGAAAAGATCGGCTTGAACCTCTCCCCTACGGTGGTGGTGGGATCTCGATTGGAGGAGGCCGTGAAGGGTTGGGGAGAGCTGGAGGAGCTCTGCCGGGTTTGCGAGGGTCTTCCTTTCCTGCTCTCGGTCAGGGTGCGTGGAACACTGTTTCTCTTTCGCTGTTGGGGTCAACACCATCTTGCGCGCAGAGAAAATATATACGATGGACCGACTTGTCTGAGTTGGGGTGCGACGAAACGGCGGTGTTGTGTTTCGTTTTGTCTACAATCTCGACCTGTATGTAACAGCGGAGAGCGAAAATAGACTAGAAGTAACCTCTATTACCGGTGTTTCCGAACCTCCCAAATCGGCCCATTCAGAAAATCTGATGTGAGGTTCACGAGTACGACCGTTATTGGAGGTAAGGAGGGTTGTCCGGGAGCGCTTCTGCCAACCGTTTGACGCCGTGCGGCCGACGTTATGCTCTCCTCGTCGCTGGCTTGGCTCTCACGCGGGGCTCGGCGGCGGGGTCACAATCAACACCCGCCACGCCGCAAAACACCGACCTATGCACACACGCGCAACAACCGGGTTGCAGGGCGACCTTGCTCACGGGGCGGGAGAGGTCCACGTCTTGCTCTTGGAAGGCTACGGGACTCGGGAAGTGCTTGCTGGGAGCTACGTGGCGCTGGTCGCGAAACGTCTCCTACTTGAGCGGGGGCTGCGAAGGCCGCGCGGCCGTCGACGACCGGGGACGCTGGCACGAGGGGGCAAAGAAAATTGTGAGCTTTCGATTCCGGAGAGAACCTAGGTCATGGTATAAGAGATGTCGCGGATGTCGCGGCTGGTGCTGGTGCTAGATGCATGCTTGTGAATTCGTATTCGTAGAATATTCCCGGGGCAAGGGCATCATAATATCTCAAGTGTGATGGCTCAGCGGACAGAACACGTGGTATGTGTGTGCATGCCGTAGCTGTTCTGTTACGTGCCGAAACCTAGCCTGTAGGCCCCTGCTTGAGCCTTCACTCTCGATGCTCCTTCATTACCCGCTTTTGTTGCCGGTATATCCTCGACAGCAACACCCACAGGAGACATCCTCCCTGAGGTGATCGAGGAAGCGCTGCGGCAAGGGGCTGCCTTACTGGCTACCCCCGATGCGCCGCCGTCCCCGATCGTATCTCCCTCTCCGACTGACACGCAAGGGGGACAAGAAAAGGTAGGGGAGGTCCCGAAGTTGCAAGAACAAGGCGATGCCGCGAGGCACGGGCGCATGATCGCACACGAACTGAGCGCCAGGGCAGAGCGGTCAGGATGGAACACGTCGGCGTTGTTCCTGGAAAAGGCGGGGGCGGTGAGGCTGCGACTTGTCCTCCGGCCCGAAAATTGAGGCGACTCTTCTCCGGGTGGCCGGGTCGCGGCGGCGGCGGCGGCGGCGGCGGCCGGGGGGTGATGCTGATTCTTTAGAGCTTAGCTCTCGCTAATGCTTGTACTGATTTTTGAGGTTTTAGCCGTACCCTCGGATACGTCGCTGGCCACGACGACTCTCTCTGAAGTAGAGCAGTTTTGCTTGTGTTTTTGTTGCGTTCGAGATATGTAGATGGTTGTGGTGACCGCGGTTCGAAGTTTGTGCGTGAGGTAGCTTTGGGGGTTTGGTGTTGTTGTTTGATCATTGAGCCAACGTACAGTAAAATCAGTGCGTCGTGTACGATGCCGTGGACTTGCCGCCACGCCTTAAAATAGCGAGCTGAGGGTGCACATCCATTGTAGAAGTGATTGCATTGAAGTACCGTGGTATAATAACTCTTGCTATTATGGTTATTGACGGTGCAACAGCGACCTGGTGTGGTACTTATTTACAGGTGTACCTGTGGACCCCTGGTGCTATCGATAGTCATCTTGCTGAAATGGTGAGATACGTGCTACAACATCTGCTTACTTTGTAGAAGATAATTCGGTATCTTGCCGACACCTATGTTTTTTTTCGTTTCGTCACACCCTGTTCCCTTCCGAAATGCCCAGAGGGTCATTTTGATGTCTCCTCGCGCGTCTGGGTCGTCCCCCTCTGACGTTAATCTGGGAAGGCCACAGGGTTGGCCGTGGTCATGCCTCGCAACAGCAGGCCAGACAACGCGTACCACGGAGGGGGGGGCGGGCGGTGAGATACAAAAAACGCCTTCAGAACCAAAAAAAAAAAAGACCGCGGTCGAAAAAACACGCACTCGTGCGTGTCCGGTGTGTTGTACCCACACCATCAGCGCCGTCTTCACCCCACTCATCACACGCATCAATACACCCCTCAACAGCACCCAAGGGGAGATACACACCTGGCGATTGGAGAGATGGCAGCAATGAAGTCGGTCTTGTTCTTGGCGTCCACGGCCCTCGCGCTACTGCACAGCTCCACCGCTTTCGTTTTGCCAGCAGCAAGAGTTGGTGAGTTGATGAGACCAGCACAGCTCACCTGAGATAGGAAATCGATGCGTAGGACTGACCATGTATCCAGATAGGACCTCAGTGTCCATAGTTCCAAACGACCCGCCTGTTCCCGCTGTCCAGTCTCTGCCGGATGTGGGGTGCATCGCGTTTGTGTTCTCGTGTGACGTGCCTCCCTGGTATGCTACCTGCTTGATGCGATCATGAACGAGGAGAGAGCGAGAGCCAGCTGGTCCGCTGCTGTTGTCAAGTTCATCTGACGTGTTGTTCCACCTCATTCAGCAGATACGCTCCGAAGTACTATACATACTCCCGTGCCAGCAAGAAGACTTGTAAAGATAGGTGATGAACTAACCGCTACGATGGCGTGCCGTGGACCAAAAGAGCTTCACATGCATGTCCCATTTAACTGCTGCTGGAAAGCTACCACTGCTCTAGACTGCAGCAGACCGCCGAGTTTCACACGATGGCACACCCCCCCTTTGGACCGATTTTCAAAGCTCGATTACTCCTCGCAGCAGAAGGATTGGCGGTATCGAAAATGGTGGCATTGGAATCGCCTCGTCGTCGAGAGCTTTCCGAAAACGTATTCTTCAATTGGATGTTGGGATCCGCTTCGTCGTGGAGTAACTGATATCTTGACAATCAGCCAAAGGGGGGGGGTGTTATCTCGCACAACCTTCGGCACAGCAGTACAATACTGCTGTAGTCAAGTTTGAATCCTCTCGAGGGCCTCAGCCTTCACGCCTAGAAAGGCCTCCCGAAGCCGAGTGGCATCATAATGCCTCAACAACAGAGTGATACACACACCGCAAGCAACCAGCCCTCATTCTCATAAAGTATATAACAAAGAGTAGATCACCCGTTTGCCATCTTGAAACCAACAGAACAGAGCAACGTACCGGACAGACGCGAGCAACCTTGAAGCAGTTAGGTAGAGCACAGAAGTAGCGACATCATCAGAGGCTCCGCATGGCCACTGCCGACTATTGTAGGTCGATGTAGCCCCCCCCAAAACTTCGGGACAGAATCTTCAATGATGACATGCATATTGCTGGAGACGTTTCGTCTATGACAAACGACAAATACAAAAATACGTAGCAAACTTCGAAACTTCGAAACCCTCACGGTGAGACCGAGTCGTCCCGAAATGTTCAGGACCGCTCTACACTGTTCTGCTGCCTGCCTGCGCAGTGGCTATGTCGGCAAGTTGTGTAGCCCACGGGAGCGGGAGGAATGTCTCAGAGTTCTCGTGAAAAAGACCACAAAGATCCATTCGGCGAATGACCGAAGCAACTTCCAAATGAAGATGTGTAGATTGAGAAGCATTACGGAAACGTGTCGAAGCCACTTCTATCTGGGCACTTAGACTGCCCTTGCGACCAGGTCCTCGACCTTTCTCGCAGAATGATGCCAAACACGCACTCGACTCTGTACCAATCGCGCTGTGCGAGGCGAAACCTTCTCGCCGTGAAGAATCTAGCCTGGGAGCCGCCGCTACCAACAAGCGAAATCAGACTGCTCAGTGCTTGTTCTCGATTGTTGTTGTTGTCTTCACATAAAAAACCGTCCCGTTCTCTCTGTCCAGTACCTTCTTCTGCCCGTACTTGTCTAACACTCGACGCGGTCGATTCCCGTGGTCGCAGGCTAAGTTACCCAAAAAAGTAGACGAAAATAAAATGGATCCGAAGGGTCCGCAAGCCAATAAAAGTCAACGACGGCTAGTCTAGCCACTCCGCTCGCCTCTACACGCTAAGCGAGGTAATCCTAGATTAGATTGGAAAAGATGGAACAAAGAAAAAAGAAAGAGAAAAAGAGGAAGAGAGCAGATGGAGAAAAGGGATAAGATAAGGAGAAAGACATGGACAGAGAAGGACACACGCCGTACCGGTAGACAACAAACAATATCGATGGTCGCCGCTATTTTCTACTGTTTTGGTGATCGGAGGAGTTGACGATATTTTCTCGGTGTTGTCCCCCGCCCTCCTCCTCTCCGCTCTTGCAGGGCAACGATCTCCGGCGCGATCTTCCCCCTCGCTCTGCACCGCCCCTGGGCGAGCAGCCCGCAGCGTGACCCGGGTGCAGATGTCAGCGGGTTCGGCAGATGAGGAGGAGATGAACGTGAGTGGCTCATTCGTGGAAGGAAGAAGGCGATATCACATGTCCGAGGGTTGTTCGTTTAGGTATCGATTTGTCAAACAAACAAGGTTTTGTAGGGCACACGAGTTTAGGGCACGGCAGGTGACGCCAGGAGTAAAGTAGATGAGCAGCACTTCATGAGGTGTTCGTGGAAACATCAATGGGGATGGTGGCCGCCCACGACGTTCGCGCATTGGTCTCCGCTAGGCCCCTTCTTGCTGCTGCCGAAGTCATGCTGCGGGAATTTTCGTACTCACGCACACTAGATATGATCGCTGTGCCTGACTGAGTATTCTGGTGGAGGTGGTTCAAGTCTGAGAGGAGGGAGCGGCGAGTCAAACTCTGTCTGACCCAACGCAAATGATGATAAAGCCTTGCCTGCTTAGCTTACCTTAGCTTTTGGCCCTGCTGTGCTGATCACACTACTTTCACCATCAATCAATCTAGCGCATCCATCCGCTGTGTACCTCTCGTGTAGTTTCCCCTCTACTGCTATTGCTGCTGCCACGACTGCCTAACCGAGTACCTCTACTGCTGCTCACGACCACTTTTGCTCAGTCCTGGACATGCTGTCCACCCACACAAAGTGAAACCATGCCACACCTGTGTCAAAACACAATTCCCCCTTCGCGTGCCCCAGTCGTTGGACAAGGCCTTAGTAGCATGGGGCGTGAAAAGCCCCCCCGGGGAGCCCGAGATCGACTTCAAGGAGAAGATCAAGTCCGCGGGGCTCGCGGGGGCATTGGCCTACGGAGGGACCGAGCTCGCCTTCTGGATAATCAGCGTGCCCCTGGCGGTGGTGGGGTACCACCAGACCACGGGGGAGTGGCTGGACCTCACCACTCTGGAGGGCAAGGAGAAGGCGAGTCTCGTTGGTTTGATCGATTCTGTGCCTTGCATGCATGAGGAGGAGCACTGGGTTGGCAAGGTTAAGGTGGCTTTGCCCCCACCCAACGGCATGGTGCATGAGAGAAGGCGAGCGTTTGGTTTGATCCTCCCGATACATGTTATGAAGAGTCGTGGCAAACATGGGTTAGCTTAGTGGGTGGCTCAAATTTGCGCGCTTCCTGAATGTGTCAAGCCTGTCCCTCCCATCCCCGTCACCGCGCGGGTGGTCTTCTTTTGACGCGGTCATTGTCCACGTCTGTGGGCCAGTCAAATCCTCTGTCTTTGCGACATGAAAGGTAAACCTTGAGGGGCATCTCGTGCTGTTGCCGGAGCAACCTTTGTGAATGGCCTTCTTCCTGTGTTGGCATCCTTACTTCGCCTTCTCGTATAAAATTGATTCCAACCGCTCGCTGCCACATCTGTTGCTTTTGCTGCCACTCGCTGCCGCCCTCTTCTCTTTCCTGTACACCCCCGATTTCGGTGCGATTTTGGATGGCTGCCTCCATGGATTGGGGCGGATGGGTGCTGCTGCTGCTGCTGCTGCTGCTGCTGCTGCAATCGGTCGATTGGTCCGACGAACTTCAGCTCTTCGGTTTGACGGCGGGTTTCCTAACGTTCGCGCGGCTTGTGGTGCCGTTGCGTATCGCGCTGGCGCTGGCGTTAACACCGGCCATGGACAAGTACGTTGTGAAGGGCTTCCTCAACAAGAACGAGGCAAGCGCGGACGCGTCTGAGGTGCGAGTACACAGCCCGACTAGAAGATCTACAAACATCTACCAAGATCATGTTCGGACCCCTTCTTTTTTACTTGTGTATTTGCTGTTTGCTGTTTGTATCACACCTTTTAGTTGTTTGTCTCGGCTCAAAACGGTACATGACGTCTCAAAGGACCGCCTTCGCGCGATTAATAAGTTGATGGGCATATAGAACAGGGAGAGGGGGGGACGCAGACCCTGTTCCCTAGCTCTTACCCAACTTCCCCGTTTGAATGCTTTATCCAACATGTCTACATAGTCTAGTAGGAAAAATCCTGTGAAGGCTACTGGTGTCAAACATGGGCCAAATACTGTGGGAGGGGGTACCCGAACTGCAAAAAACAAGTTCCAGTTACTGTCCTACCAAAGTTTAAACCGCACAACTACTGCTGCTGTAGTGAGCACTTGAATACGGACGGCGTCATCTACAACTGCATCACCCATGACTGACTTGTCCATAGGGACGATGAAACCAGCTGCATCTCGCGGTAAAGGGCTCTATTGTTCATTCTTGCTTTTGCCGCTCTGCTTTGGTGTTATTTTGAACCTATCCTATTCGCACATGCTTTTTTTCTCCCCCGCTTTCTTTCTCGCCGTGCTCTCTTCCGCTGGTCTTCGTGCCGTCAGTGATGCCAACGACGACAGCGGACTCTCCGACCGCCTGAGGCAGGCCGAGATCCAAGTGGTCAGCCGAAGTCTCCGAGACAAGCTGGACCACTAGATGTTCTTGTCGCGCGCCCGCGACGTGATGGCTTTAAGTTCGGGCTGTGTGCACACACACCGCGATGTGTTATCAAGGCCGCGGGGACGAGGGGGGGTCGTTATGGGCAGTATTGAAGTGTCACCTGCACGAATTGAATCATTCCAATGCCAGAGAGAGGCGTGAGTGAGTGTCTTTCATGCTTGAGTCTCGGGCCGGGGTGAATTTATTGCTCGTTCTCGGTACAAGTCGACGTGCTGGCTGAGCGGTTTCTAGGGAATAGCATGCATCGTTGCAGAGTTCCTCGTGAGCGCAAAATGGGTACAAAGACACGTACGTGGCTCCAGAAGGTGTCGGCGAGCTCGCTGGTTGGAAGCTGTCCGGCCAACTCAGGATTGGATAGATTGTGAGCCCTCTTTCGAGGGCTAGGAGAATCATTTTCGGTGCCAAGCTAAATGCATTGGTGACAGCTCTCGGAACTCAGGGAGCGCGCTTTCCCAACCAAGACTTTTTTTTTTGGTGCAACCGCGATCGGTTGTGTTGCGGTTCGCTGGCAGGTAGTGTTGGAAGTTTTAAGTTTTCAAGCAAATCGTAAAGGGGCCAATATTTTATCTCGTGAATAACATTTATTTCATTTTTTCGTGACTTCACACAAGCAAGCAGAGAAAGGACTGCTAAAACCCTTCTCGCTCCGTCATAAGTGACTAGTCCATACCGCGTCTGCCTTTCCCGTCTTGTTCTCCTCAATCGCCGCGCCACTACCCGACGCCTACCCTAGCCCCCCGAATTGTATCGCGAATCATCTTTTCCAAGACCCCCAAAGATCGACAAAGACGCACCCAAGGCTCGACAACGACGCATGCCACAACTTGTCCAATGGCCAGTATCTTGCCGCGCCTTGGTCTCCGACGATACGCTACTTCCGCGACTTCCACGACCACGGCATGGACACCAACGGGCAGTACCACCAGGAACACCAAGTCAGCGGGACTTTGGGCTCGTCACAAGTCACCCGCAGTTGACGATGCCGCAAGAGCCGCCAACAGCACACACGACACGGCGTGCAAGAAGCACAGATTTCGACACCACTCAAACGCCACGCACAAGTCAAAATGCGCGGCCATGGCCCTCTCGTAATGCGCCACGTGCGCTCGCTCTCCAACTTCCCAACTGCGGTATATCATGATGTCTTGAACGGGGCATATGTGTAGTACTTCGGCACGGAGTCTAACCTCGCGTGTAGCCTGCGTGTGGGGGAGAGCAGGCACGTGCGGGGGGCGGGGGGGCGGGGGGGCGTACTCATTTGTTGCTTGCCGTAGTCATTCGACCATTGACCACGCGTCCCTTTCGAGACGGAGCACTGTTCCTACCCCTACTAGAGACACCACCAACATTTGGGAGCTCTTTACGTTTCTGCCACAAACTACATAAAAATTTCTTGCACAT